GACTGACAACTCATGGGGCCCCCGGGCAATAGGGGATCATGGGGCCCCTGTGTCCTTGCCCAAACTCAAAAAAGCCTATGAAAAAGGTACCAGGGGCATCTCATGGGCCCCCTACTGACCCCGGGCCCTTGGGCAGTGCCCGAGTTTCCAAATGGTCAGTCCGCCCCTGCCCCCCCTACAAACAAACGTCCGCTCTCCTACCCTTCTTTTTGCTGACCTGGAAGTTATGTGTAAAATGTATGGCCGGGAAAGAATGTAATGCAGTGCGACTTGCAATTACATTCAAAGGCACACGGGGTAGACTCCCCAGATTTCTTTTAAAGAGAACCTGTCACCAAAAAGTATTACATATGGGTTTTTTTTGTCTCCCATGTGATAGAAAAAAAAAGTTTTTACAATTTGAGAGCTTGACTGCAAACCTCTTTGACAAAAAAGTCTACGATCTATGAAATATACTAGATGTTCTCATTGTTAACAACATCATTTTTAGGCTAAAATCCTCCGTGAAACCAAGCCAATACCAAACTTGATTTTTGCGATTGAGAAGTATGAAGAGTTTTTGATCAAGCTGTCCAAGAAGTCAAAGGTATGGATTTGTATTTACATAAATATATATGGAGTGCATTTATTATATATATATATATATATATCTCACACACAAACATCAATCAACCATAACATTATGACCAGTGACAAGTAAACAGTATAACATTGATTACCTTGTTACAATGGCATCTGAAAGTGGGCGGGATATATTAGGCAGCAAGTAAATATGTTAAGCATATGTCCTTCTGAGGATTTACCCCCCTTCCTGATCAGGCCAATTTGTGCGTTACGGTGCTGCAGTCCTGTAACTGACAATTGCGCAGTCATGCAACGCTGCACCCAAATTAAATTCCTTTTTTTTTGGTGGTATTTGATCGCCTGTAATGTTTTTATTTTTTGCGCTATAAAAAAGACTGACAATTTTGAGAAAAAAAACAATATTTTTGACTTTTTGCTATTAAACATGGCCAGTAAAAAAATGTTAAATCAAATTTCGTCATAAATTTAGGGCAAAGTGTATTCTGTTACATGTCTTTGCTAAAAAAAAAAAAAAAAAAAAAAATCCTAATATGTGTAAATGAAATGGTTTACTTGAAAGTTTTAGCATTTACAAATGGCGGTATAGATACTGGATTTTTTTTATTTTTACTAGTAATGGCAGCGATCAGCAACTTATAGTGAGACTGCGGCAGACATTGTGACACTGGGGGGAACTGACTTAGTGTCACTGGACCAATACAGTGATCAGTGCTACTAATAAAAAAAAAAAAAAGCAGCACTGACTGCACTAATGGCACTGAGCAGGAAGGGGTTAGCAAGAGGAGCGATCAAAAGGGTTAACTGTGTACCGTTTTGCTTGTGTCTGTGCTTCACTGTGCACAGCCATCCAAAGCAGTGTGCACAAATTGACAGGGAGGAGAACTGTACTGTTTACATAGTTCTCCTCCCCGTCGGAGATGCTCAGCAATCACTGGCTGTAACCCCGTGATTGACAGCCGCGAATGGTGGCGCAGGTAGGGCTCGTGCACTCCCTATACCTGGAAATGCAAAATCACGTGTGTGTGTGTGTGTATATATATATATATATATATATATATATATATATATATACGTAATTTTGCGCATCTGTGCCTCCCTGTAGCAGTATATCTGCTATAGGGCGGTCGGGAAGTGATTAAAGTACATATGTTGAAAGCAGAAAAAAAAAAACAACCCTGAAAAAATGGTCAAGCGTAGGGATTTGTGTGACTTTGAGAAGGGCCAAATTTTAATGGGTAGATGACTGGGTCAAGGCATCACCAAAGCTGCACCTCTTGTAGGATGTTTCTGGTTTGCAGTGGTCATCACCTCCCAACAGTGTTTCAAGGATAAAACCAAAAAAATTGGCGACAGGGTCATGGGAGGCCAAAGCTCATTGATGTGTGTGGGGACCAAAGGCTGCCCTGTGTAGTCTGCTCCAATAGAACAGCTTACTGTAGCTCAGATTGCTGAAAAAGTTAATGCTGGTTGTGATGGGAATAGGTGTCAGAACATTCTGTGTATGGGCCGGTGTAGCCACAGACTGGTCAGGGTGCCCATACAGCTAAAAGCACTAACAATGGGCACGTGAGCATCAAAACTGGACCAAAGAGCAATGGAAGAAGGTGGCCTGTTCTGATGAATTCAAGAATGGTTTGAGGAACACAACAATGAGCTCAAGGTGTTGACTTGGCCTCCAAATTCTCCAGATCTTGAGCCAACTGGCCATCTGTGTGATGTGCTGGAAACCAGGTCTGATCCATGGATACCATATCTCACAACGTACAGATCTTAAGGGATCTGCTACTGGCAGCTTGGTGCCAGATACCACAGAATACCTTCAGAGGCCTAGTGGAGTCAATGCCTCGATGAATTATAGTGGGTGGTGGTCATAATGTTTTATAATATATTTTTTTTCCTTTTTTTTTTTTATTTTAAAGGTTAACTTGATGCAGTACATAAAGCTGAGCACTTCCAGAGACTTCAGAATCAATGCAGCTACACTGGATGCAGCTCTGCAGGAAAAGGGCTCGGAGGATGAGGAGAATGAGCCAGACAACATGCAGGTAGGAGACAGACCAGCTATTCTGGGTCAGAAACCACGACACCTACAAGATAGGATTGTAGTAGTCGCCTTTTTAAAAATCCTTTTTTTGGAGTCTATTTAGGAACACAGAGAGTCTTAAACCTTTGGATTTTACTGCCACCTCCAGGCGTTTTGGACATTGGCAAAAAAAAAAAAAAAAAATAAATAAACTGTTAGCCAGCCAGCTTAGTATAACCCCTCCCACAAGAAGCATGCCTCAGTTTTGTAGAAAAGCGGGTCAGAAAGCATCAACGGACTCCAAGAAAAGGATCTTACCCAAAGTCTAAAAAATCCAATTGTTTCTGTCTTCTCCTTTGAGGGACACATATAATCTTACCCTATGGAGCTTCCAACAGCAGTTCAACTGAGGGGTGGGCAAACCAACAAATAGTCTCCCCCCTGTCTGAAGGACTCTGTTACATAGTTAGTCTCCTGCAAAAAAGTCCATCTAGTTCAACCATAAAAAAGAAAAAATTAAAAAGTTATAATCCTACACCCACAGTTTATCCAGAGGGAGCCAAAAAACTCAGCAAAGCATGATCCAATTTGCTCCTGCAGGGAAAAAATTCCTTCCTGATCCCCCGAGAGGCAATCGGATATTCCCTGGATCAACTTTACCAATAAATGTTATATCCAGTTATATTCTGTGTATCCAAGAAAGAATCCAGGACTTTTTTAAAGCAATCCACTGAGCTGGCCAGAACCAACTCTTGAGGGAGTCTATTCCACATTTTCACAGCTCTCACTGTGAAGAAACCTTTCCGTGTTTTAGAGATTAAATGTCTTCCTCCAGACGTAAAGAGTGCCCCCTTGTCCTCTGTGATGACCTCAGGGTGAATAACTCTACACCAAGTTCACTATATGAACCACTGATGTATTATACATTGTGCTAGCAGCTAGCATCAGATGCACAGTATATTTGGTAGAACTTAGAGAACCTGTTAACAAAATGAATGGGCTGAAATTGCACTGCGCACAACTGCATGTGAATTGCACAATATTCTTGTGCACCTTATGCAGTTTCTAGTGTGAAAGGGCCCTGAATCAAATGGATTAAAAAAAAGGATGCACACATTTTACATTTTTGTAAAATAAAGAACATCGACGGTATTTAAAACTGAATATAGGTAACCTACACTAAATATCTGGATGTTGACTGCACACCAGTGCCATGTGGAAAATTGAATGACAACTACTTACCATAATTTTGCTTTCATAAATGTTCGGTTTCAGAAGGCCGTACGTAATGTTCGGGAAGCAGGAAGTCAACAATTTGCACACAAGTTTTAAATATTTTTTTTTAATACCTCTGTCCAGATCGGTGCTGCTTGCCATAATGGTCTCAGCTGGCCTATTATTATACAGGACTGATATAGCGCCAACAGTTTGCTCACCACTTTACATTATAGTGGGAGACAATACAGTTCAATACAAGAGGGATTAGAGGGCCTGATCCCTGGAGCTTACACTCTAGGAGGGAGGGGATAGTGGTACAAGAGGTAATTAGCTGTGCGGTATGGAGTGGTAGGAGGAGTAGTTGATTCCAGTATTTGCTGAGGGCGGGGTAGGCTTCCCTGAAGAGATGGGTTTTAAAGAGTGCGCCTAAAGATGAGCAGAGTAGGCGATAGCTTGGGGTAGGGAGTTCCAGAGGATGGGTGAAGCCCTTGAGAAAATCCTGGAGATGAGCATGGGAGCTAGAGAGTAGGCCTATGTACTGTATGTGATTGGCGCTGTCCATGCAATCCTATGGCAAGCGCTTATTCTGTGGTCCAACGGCGTACAGACTTTCCGTAGGACTGAAATTGAACAGTGCACAAGGGAGTCCAGCCTGGAGGCTGCATAGCTTATATCTCTCTGGATCCGACAGGCTCTTATAAAACTGGTTGGGGGCGCTATCACCTAGCTACACTTACAGACGAACTGAATATGTACTCCAACCAGTTTAGTTCGATCTGCCAACAATACTGGATAAGAACACGTGTAGTTTTAGTTTAGTAATGATGTTTTTGTTTTTTCTCCTCTAGTCCGGCACTGAACAGAAAGAAAGTCAAGAACCAAAGAGAAAACGAAGAAGGAAGTAGCTGACAGTTTGCTCTCATCTCTGTTTCCTTCTAAAATCTCCCATTTTCACACCGTTCATTACTCTAAAATAGATGTAAATTTATGAAGTGTTCTGTAAGCCTCTCCCCCCTTTAACATGTTCAATACACAAGGAGCTATTCTATTCGTTTATTCACACCATGAAACATTCAGTCAAACAAAAAAACCGTTCCGGTATTTCACCTCATGAGTAAATCATGAACGAGATGTAACTCCACAGGAGTCGAGCAGTAACAGATGCCGGCAGAGATTAGCTCCCTTTTTTCAAAACACCATTAGTTAGCTTAACGATCTCAAAGATATCCAAAGCTTCACCTACAAATAAAAAAAAAAGTATGTTAGAATATATCAGTTATATGAACTATTTGTACAGCCTGATGAATAAAATGTATCATTATTACTGAAACCAGACTGGAGATATATTTTAAGTTTGGGCTGACCATAGACTGTGAGGAGTTAGAATCTGTCCCCCTCACGGGGTCTTTGGTCCACCTAATGTCAAAGCCATCTTCTAACCCCCTCCCTTTTTTTTTTTTTTTTTTTTTTTTTAGATTAGACGCATGGCTGCAATACTATGCACTGTGTTGCCAAAAGAAAAAAATACAGCCTGCCAGATTTTCACAATGACTGGGCTGTTCACTGCACAATGCATGACAACATCTGTGTTGCAGTGTAAATAGGCCCTCAGGATTTTCTGCCAGTTCACTTCCAGGATTTACCCTTTAACCTCCTCGGCGGTCTGATTATTTCCGTTTTTTTGTGCTGAAAGCGGTACCATTTTTTTGCATGGAAATATGTAGTTTTTTTATTGTAGGCTGTAATTTTTAGGAATAACTCACTGAAATCTGTCCGAACAAGAGTCTAGTAAACATCCCGGGTATGATAAAATTTGAAACACGAAATCATAAAAAATAATATAATAATAATAATAAATTTAATTCAATAATATAATCAAACCAAAAACACTGAAATTTGAAATACAGAGGCAAAATCGTTTTCAGTGTCTGATGAGGAATTTCCCCCACGAATCATTATCACTCAATTCTGCAAGTGGTTCTGATTTACTATCGCTGTTCTCTAGCCGGTCTAAAACCGCTTTTGACCTAAAGGGACGCTTTTTGGACGCCATGGATGTTTCTAAGTTTCCAGGCAGAAAGAACAGTAAAAATGCAGGCAGGGCGCAGGACAAAGCACTCGGGACAAAATGTATGTGAAATGCATTGAAAGAGCAATGTTTTACTATGCAATAATCATTTTAAAAAAAATGAAAATTTTTTAAAAATTTCAAATTTGCGGCCGTTTTCGGCGCCCGTACGTCCCGACGTCACAGGGACCGGAACACGGAAGCCGGATGAGATGGCCGGGGACACTGCAGGGGACACATCGTGGGAGCAAAGGACAAGGTAAGTGCTGCAGGGACTCCCTGAGCAACGCCGCATGGTAAGCCCGAGTGTAGCTCGGGGTTACCGCTTTTGGTACTCAAATTTTACCCCGAGCTACACTCGGGAATACCACCAGGGAGGTTAAAGCCTAACTCCAATAAAACCCGTCACATAGGAAATACTCCTTTCTTGGCAAGGCGTGGAGGAGTGTCACATAATATCAGTGAAAGAGGTTGTCAGTCATCTACTGTGTATGAGGGGGGGGGAGATATTCTGTGACAGCTTTTCTCAATGGCTAGGTTTGTAGGAAAAAAAAAAAAAAAGTTAAAGTGGAATTCTGTCCATAATCTAACTCACTTAAAAGGCCCATACACACGATCAGAATATTGGACGAGTGATCATCTGTTGTTTTGTTTTTTCTGCATGCTAGTCTCATTTTGAAAGTGAAAAGGTTACATTCTTCAGAACTTTAGTATTTGTATTGTATTTTCGGATGACTATTGTACTGGTTAAACGAAAATCTTATGATCCGGTATAGTTGATAACATTTTCGTGCTCGTCCCTTCTGTTTTTGTTTTTTTTGGACGACTGCTGTGTACTGACAATCAGATTATCATACGATCGCTTTAAAAGCGGCATTTTTTGTCGATAGTCTATACGGAGCATAAGCCTACTCTATCCCTGCAAAGAAAAGATTACTATACTCACCTATTCTGAAGCCGGTCCGGTCTCCAGCAGCGGCGTTTGTGCAGGAGAGAAAAGTGACATCACCCATTGACTGATGACGGGGTATCCATTGTCCTCTCCTCCTCCTCTACACAGGAGCTGCTGCTGGCAGCCCAGCCTGGGACTGGACTGGGTTCAGAATAGCCAAGTATAGCAATCTTTTCTTTCAGGGTTAGATAGAATGGGGGGCAGAAATAGGTTTAAAGTTAGAATATGGCTAGAATTCCACTTTCATTTCTGCATTAACCCCTAAGAGTAAAGCAAATCTAAATGCCTAAGCACAATTTTGCAACTTTGACATGTGTTAGCAAAACCGAACATATCATAACTACTTTGTACATCCAGGTGGATTATACCTCGTTTTTTTTTTCAGGACACATTGGGCTTTTATTTGGTGGTAAATGGTAATGAATATCTCCTGATACTTTTTTTACTTTTTTTTTTTTTTTTTTTATTGCCAAAAGAAAACTGGCTCAAGAATTTCTTGCTACTACCCTAACCTACCACCAAACAACCCTGACAATCACAACAATAGCACGTGTATGTTGTTGTTGTTGTTTGTATCCGTAGTACAGCCCAGAAATAATAGTGCGCAATTTGCTTTTTTTTTTATCCTGACACTGATACTAATTTTAAAAAAAAAAACCCTGACCTTGACCTAGACACTAACCGGCACAGACCTAGATAAAATCTTAATCTAGGTATTTTTGTTTGTCCTTTTCAGAGAGAAAAAAAGTGTGTAAAAAAAATAAAAATTATAATTTAAAAAAAGTAGAGTGAGATACAATGTACCTCTCTCCTCTATTCATAGAGAGAAAATAGGGGGGGGCTTCAAAGTGACTGATCACTATGATCAGGTGACCCAGAAGCGGGAGGTCCCGATCGTTAGAACGGGACTTGGGGCTCTCAGTGACCCGCCGGGCTTTGTGTTGGGAGCGCACTGTGCAGCTCACTCCCAGCAGAAAGACACGTATGCAAATTAGTTGCCCTATGGAAAAAAGCCCAGTTCTGTGAGGCCGCTAATTTGCGTGTGGTCAGGGTCAAGAGGTTAAGATTACTATACATTCTTGGGTCACTAAAGGAATTCCAAAATATACAACTGGTTCAATATGGTATAGTGACCATTTCTGGCAGAGCTGGGACATACCAGGAGGAATGCCGTACTTCTGTTCTACACCAGTTGGGTTTGATGGGGTTGCACAATCCATGTTCACTTCTTTTCGAAGACAGCGATCAATGTCTACTGCACTGAAAAACGCCACCGACTGAGGCAAATCCATCATTCCCAGTTTGTAAGCAAACATACACCTGCAAAATGGAAATAAACAGAACATAAATGCCAAGAATATTAAAATGTTTCTATGTAACATTTTGCAGCATTACGTCCAGGTTTTTGTAGAAAAGCCATCCTGTGTGTTAGCTGATGCTCTTCAAAAGGTTGAGGACCCCTGTTTTAGGATGAGAGCCACTTGAGTTATTTGGTAACTGGACGCAGACCACAATGAAATGGTTCAGAATTGCAATTTTTTTTAAAATTCTGAATAGCATAATGAACATTTCCCTTCTGCAGCCGTTGTATGCCGGCAGGAGGGAGAGGAGGAGAAGCTGACTTTCAGTGGTTGCAGGAGGAAAATGGAGAGGATCAGTTCCTGTATAAGCCACCTCTGAGGAACGTTACTTAAAAGTGAAAGTTCCATTTCTTCTCCTTCTCCACCACCACTTTTGGAACTTTTTTTGGGGGGGAGGGGGTGGGAGCATGTACCTTTTCTCTGTACCAACTCCCATTTCTGCCTTTCTAGGCAAGAATAGTGGACACGGGCAGACTGACCATTTGGAAACTTGGGCACTGCCCGGGGTCAGTAGGGGGCCCCATGAGATGCCCCTGGTGCCTTTTTCATAGGCTTTTTTTGAGTTTGGGCAAGGACACAGGGGCCCCATGAGTTGTCAGTCTGCCCCTGAGTGGACGTTCTGAGGTACCCTAGTCCTGCCTTAGTCTCCAGGTGAATCTGCCTCTGAGGAATCAGACTTTTCCTATCACACCTAAACTGAAAGCGACCATTTTGACTTTTAGCCTGGGTTCACATATGTGTGGTGCGGTATATCGCATGTGATACGCACAGAAACCGCATCGCATTCCTGTGCAAATCACCTGCGTTTTGTGTGCGGTGCCATCAGAGCCATACATTTTGTATGGCTCTTTTTGCACCGCACCAAAAACGTGCAGGACCCTTTTTTGGTCCACACTAGAATCGGATCACATGGGTATTCACACCTATGCGATCCGATTCTTCACATCGCACTGCATTTTGCGGACCGCTTTTGGGGTGTTGTTAACACAGCTGCAGCGGTTCGCATGAACAGGGTGCGATTCTGATGCGGTGCGGAGTTTGCACTGAAACCTCTGTGAATTCCGCACTGCATCAGTGTGAACCCAGGATTATTGTTGCAGTTAGCATCAGATTAATGCTAAAGGTCCAGCCTGTTTCTGCAAAGAACTGATTTGTACCTTCTAATTGTTTCTCAGACCTGTATCTGTCTGAAGAGTACTTTGTGAAGCCTGGACACTGTTAGATTGACTTTTAACAAACATCCACCATTCCCTTAATCTGTCCATTATTATATATGTACTCTCCAACATGGGAGACTCTCACATTATAGTTAGGACTGCAGTACACTGGGGTATGTGTCATGGCCGCTGCAGCCTACACAAAGAAATGTGAAGGCAGAAAGAGAATGAGCGGTCCATCGAGTCTGCCTGTTTTTTTTTGTTGTGGTTCTTTTGGAGGGTTTTTTTTATTTTTGGTCTACTTTTTTTGTCTAAAGTATAGATCTATACTTTTCCCAGGCATGTTTGAAGCTACTTACTGTTGACTGGCTCACTACCTCTGCTGGGAGTTTATTCCAAGCATCAACTACTCTCAGTAAAATGGTACTTTCTGCAAATATACACCTATATTTGCAAATGAGTGAAAATGAAACCCCTTGTTTTTAATGTGACAGGGTCAATTCAGTTTGTTGCAGGCTGGCTGGCAAGTTTTTATTTGTTTTTTTTACATGCATTGCCCTTCCATGTGCTCCTTGCTGCAAAGACTAGTAACAGTTTGGGTGGTTGCCATTTGTTTGTACAGTTGGTGAATTGGTGTTGGGACGCACCAGGATACCTTCAGCTGCCATTGTGCTTTTGCTGTGTGTCCAGTGCATCTCCGTACCATTAAGGAGGGGGTGGTCTCCCTCCGGCATACATGCCCTTAACCCTTTGAGGACCAAGGGACGTATTTTTCCCATTTTTTTAATTGCGTGTATCATCTGATTAAGAACTTAAAACTTTTTTTTTTTTTTTTTTTGGTTTGAGTCAAAATATTAGCTTTTATCAACAAACAACAAATGGATCTAGCTTTTTGCCAATTATTTCATGAAATGGCTTAGTTACAGCAACTGAAGTGTATGAACTTTAAAAACAAAAAAATTGATTCTTCCAAAATCTTACAATCCTCAAAGGGTTAACCTATCCATTATTATATACTGTATATGCTCCAACAGGGGAGACTCTGAAAACTATAGAGTCAGGACTGCAATCCTGTGGCAGCTTACGCATATATTTGGAAATGTGTGCAGACTAAACCCCATGAATTGTTAGACCGGGTTCATTTGGTTTGTTGCAGGCTGGCTGGTAAGTGAGCTGGGAATTTTGTTTTGTTTTTTAACATGCTTTGCCCTTCCATGCGCTCCTTGCTGCAAAGGCTAGTGATAGATTGGGGTGGTTGCCATTTGTACAGCTGAGGGTAGTCCCATTCACCCAGTTCCATTGAAGACCTCTAAAACACAACATTCTGTTATCAAGGGACAAGTTGGTCCAGTCCATGGACACTCTTATTCATATATCACCGCGGACCAGGTTTTCCCTGGCTTGGTCGGCTCAGGAATCCAGCTCTCATGCCAGATCCTAACATTTTGGGTTAGGAAGAAGCCCCAGCACCCTGTTGGTGCAGAGGAATTGGATGTTGAAGGAATTTCACCTACCAATCAACATTCAGGAATGGGAGATTTGGTGGTCCCTGCAGCACTGAATCTCCTGCCTGGCTGCTCATCGGACCTGGATTCAGTCAGACAACGCAACAGCAGTGAGGAACCAGCAGTCGTGCTGAACAGAGTACAGAACAGAGTGTCTAATGCAAATAGTATGTTACCTTGTTAGCAGATTTGTGATCTGGAGAGCCAATGCTGCACGATATCTGTCCTCACTACACACTAGATAGCGCACCTCATCGTGGATACTGATGCAGAAACGCCCATCTATGTCATACTCCTCAAAAAGCCACTTCATGGCCACCAGCATCAGATGGAGGTAGTCCACAGCCGAGCTCTGTACAACCCAATTCACTCTGCTGGTTATAAACTGAACAAAAACAAGACAAGGGTGAGAACTGGCTTCTGGGAGGTAAAATGTTTGAGGTTTTGGACAGAGAAATGAATGACAAAACATACCATGACCTCCTAATGTAATTATGTATTTGCAGTGAAGAGAAGTCCTTCCACCAAGCATTATGGTGACATGAGACATTTCCCTCATAGTATAGTACAAAGGAACAGTGATAACAGTTCTAGGCACCTGCTTAAAGCGCAATCCCACGCTCACCTTGTCAAAAAATAAAAGTCAGCAGCTACAAAAATTGTAGCTGCTGACTTTTAAAAAAAACAGCCACTTACCTGTCCCGCGGTGTGTCCCCTGCAGCCCGTTTCACAGGCCTTCCTGTATTCCAGGAGGCCGGCATCTTCAGTGTAGGCACCTGGCTGTGATAGCTTGCGGCTTCACAGCTGGGTGCCCACTGCGCATGCGCGAGCAGCACTGCGCTTCATGAATGGTCCTGTAGTCTTCTGGGACCTGTCACGTGTCCCAAAAGACTACAGGAAGGACACCTTCCGCTTCCGGTCGCCTAGGCGATTGGACCGGAAGTGGGAATGGGTACCTGTCAAATTCAGATACCTGCTCCCCGCCCCCCCAAAGGTGCCAATCCTTAATGGGGAGCAGTCCTTAAAGCGAAACTTCCCCTTTTGGGTGGAGCTCCGCTTTAAGTAATCCTGTAACAAACCTGGGCAGTTCAGACTGCATTTAATGAAAACTGCATGAGCAGAGGTAGAGATAACCTTCAATGAAAACTGCATAGCAATCAAATATAGACACAGCTCCAGTTTTTGGGCTGGTGCACAGTGATCACATTAGGAGTGCTGCCTCTCACTTTACACACGTCGCTAGCAGACTCTCAACATGGTTCAAGGAGTATTGAAGCTCACAGAACGCTAACGTTTCATATGTTTTAAGTGACAGGCAGCATTTCCATTATGACCAGTATATCTCTGCAATACATGCACATATCTCCCGCTTTCATCCCTTTAAAGGGATACGAAGTGCTTTTTTCGTTAAAATAAAAAGGTAGTTTTGCTTATCTGCTCTGTGTAACGATTTATATAGTTAGTCTGGCTGAAAAAAGACAAAAGTCCATCCAGTTCAACCATAAAAAAAAAAAGTTAAAATCCTACACCCACAGTTGATCCAGAGGAAGGCAAAAAAAAAAAACCCAGCAAAGCATGATCCAATTTGCTCCTGAAGTTAAACAAATTCCTTCCTGATCCCCCGAGAGGCAATCGGATATTCCCTGGATCAACTTTACCTATAAATGTTAGTATCCAGTTATATTCTGTGTATCCAAGAAAGAATCCAGGACTTTTTTGAAGCAATCCACTGAGCTGGCCAGAACCAACTCTTGAGGGAGTCTATTCCACATTTTCACAGATCTTACTGCGAAGAAACCTTTCTGTGTTTGGAGATTACATTTCTTTTCCTCCAGACGTAAAGAGTGCCCCCTTGTCCTCTGTGATGACCTCAGGGGGAATAACTCTACACCGAGTTCATTATATGAACCACTGATGTATTATACATGGAGATCATATCCCCCCTTATGTATTATACATGGAGATCATATCCCCCCTTATGTATTTATACATAGAGATCTTATGTATTATACATGGAGATCATGTATTATGAGATCATATCCCCCCCTTATGTCCTCTTATTACATGGAGATCATATCCCCCCTTATATGTATTATACACATATCCCCCCCTTATGTATTATACATGGAGATCATATCCCCCCTGATGTATTTATACATGGAGATCATATCCCCCCTTATGTATTTATACATGGAGATCATATCCCCCCCTTATGTATTATACATGGAGATCATATCCCCCCTTATGTATTATACATGGAGATCATATCCCCCCTTATGTATTATACATGGAGATCATATCCCCCCTTATGTATTATACATGGAGATGTCCCCCATGTATCATGGAGATCCCCCCTATGTATTATACATGGAGATCATATCCCCCCTTATGTATTATA